CCTTCGTTGTCTTGTGGCTAACTAAGGAGTTTTCACTTATTTGGTTTTTTCAATTTTGGTTTACATTTTTGCCCTTCTGCTTTCTATTGTTTGATTTCTTCCATAATCTTCATTTCCAGTGAAAAATTAATAGAGTAAATTCCTTTTTCTTCAGTGCCGAAGTGGTGATAGCATAGTGGTGTTGCCTGATGAAGGAACTGCCAAACCAGAGAATGAATCACAACTAAATGTTGTCAGGCATGTGGAAGCTTTTAATACAATGAAAAGTGATGTGTGCTTGACTACAGAGTCAAATTTGGGAAATGCTGACCTAAAGATGGATAAAGCAAACAACCATGCCCCATGTACTTTAGATGTTGATATTGAGAAAGGAAAGTCAGAAAATCCAGATCTCACTGATGAATCTGTTTTGTTTCTGAAGACTAATGATTCCTTAGCAGTAAGTTCTCGATAACACTAATGCTTCAATTGTTAGGAATACATTTAAAATACTTCGGGAAGAATCAGAGCCATCTTCTCTGTCTCACTGGTGTATTGTTATTGTTGTTGTTTGTCAATCGTTCTATTGTAGTTCTTTTATTTGGTATCTCAAAGTGATAATGAGCTGTTTTGCAGAGAACATTGCAGAGAGAAATTAGCATAGGAAGAAAATTCACGCAGCTTATAATGAATCATAGCTCTGAGTTACCCAAGTTCACTTCAAGAGGTAGCTATCGATTGCACATCCATTCTGACTTCAGCTCTTTTCGTGAATTATTGTATTGTAATCCTGGATCTTTTTCTTTTTCAATGATTTCATGATGTTTATATCTGTAATGATGCAAGTTATGACATGAAACAATTTTTATATTTTGTTATTATTTTTTCTTTTCAAAGTTTTTAGCTCATTAAGCCTATGTTTGGCTCGTGTTTATAAATTATTTATAAACACTCAAGCCACTTTGTTTCCATACATTTTGAGGGACCCACAAGTAGTACCCACTTAATACTCTCTATTTATAATTTAAACCATCTATAAACACTTCCTAACCATGCTCTAAGCTTGAAGGGAGTTAAACCAT